CACCGCGGCCCACACGGCCACCCCCCCTCTTCCGGCCCCAGCTGCCCTGCCGGTGGCTCCTGGGGACACACACTCGTCCCCAGGGCCTCCCACCACAGTCAGGACAGACTCCCTGGGGAAGGCCCCCCCTGCTGAGGGCACAGCCCCCGCCAGCCCCACCCTGCACCCGGAGGAGGACGACATCCGGAATGTCATAGGTGAGCGCTCCACCTGCCTGGCCGGTCCGCTCAGGTGAAAGGCTGAGCCTCGCGATCGTGGGAGCCGGAGGCTCGGGCTGAGCCACAGAGAACGGGCCTGTGTCGTGCCCTTGGCTGCGACCAGCTTCACACCCGGGTCCATGGACCCAAAGGGCCGTCCTTGGTCAAGCGCATGGGAGCCAGTGGGGCCACGGCCTGGCTCCACAAGGTCTGCAGCCACGCGCCCGGCGCTTCCTGTCCTGGGCTGTGTGGTGGGCAGTGGCAGTGGGTCTCGGGGACTGGAGTTTGCTGAGGCCCAGCAGGTGAGGCCTCCGGGTGACGGAGGGCAGTGGGGGGCCCAGGGGATGGCGCTTTCTTTTCCTCTTCCTGCCGGGGGGCGGGGGGTGGGGCGGCAGCTGGCCATAGCTGGGCCGTCCCTCCGCATGGACAGTGTGAGGCTGCATCTGCTCAACTTCTGCGGGCAGTCCCTGAGCCCAGCGCCCACAGTCCCTTCTGCCATGGAGTGAGCGCCCCAGGCCCCCTTCTCCACCGACTCACCTTGAGGTGGAGGGACAGTTTGCCCGGAAACAGGAACCTGCCCCTGGGCCTCCGCGGCGGCCCTCACCCGGCTGATGGTGTTTGCCGCCTGGAGCCCCTTCCGTGGCCGCCGTCTCCGCCACCCGCCCAGCCTGGCCCCACCCGGGCCTCTGCCCGCCCCTCCCTGGGGGTTGCTTTCTGGTGTGACCCCAACTGGGTCCTCGGGGCTCTCCGCTCCCTCCAGCAGTTTGGCTGAGAAGCTGAGGACCTGACGCCTGTGGTGTCCTGGCGGCCAGGGCCGCGGGGAGCAGGTGGGAGGGGACATTCTCTCTCGTTGGTCAATGCCCTGTTCAACTAGAGGGACAGCGTGAGGGGGGCCCGCTCCAGGACCGCCCACCGGCGCTGCCTCGTGCATCTTCCGTTTCCCTTAACCCGAGGGGGGAGGTCGCTGTGCGGGTCTGGTTTCCGGAGTCGCCGTTCACTGCCCGTCGCTGTCGAGTGCCCATCGCTGGTGTGGGTGACATTCCCTTTCCAGAACCTTCTCTGCAGGCCCGAGCCTGTGCCTGGCTGCTTCAGACCACCGGGCTGCGGGCCCAGTGCCTCTCACGTGGCGTCACCCGGCCACTGGGTGCTGCGCGATGGCTGCTGGCTGGGTGACGAGCGCACGGTTTTGATTGGGGCTGAGGCGTGCGGCTACGTTAAAAGGAACATCCTATCCCACGGTTTCCAGACCCGATGCTGTGACCTCCCAAAAGGCCGACCCTTTCCTCAGGGAAACTGAAACCAGAGAAATTCCAGAACCGACCTCGGCTGTTTAACGAGCGTCAGGGGGAGCCCGGCTCCAGGTGGGAGGAGAGGCCATGGGCACGGGCCGGGGCTGCGTGGGCGACGCTGGAGGAAGCGGCTGTGCCCGGGGCCCAGGCAGCGGACAGACCGGGAGGTCGGCAGCTCCTGGCTCAGTGGGGCCAGGTCGGAGGAGCAGAGACAGTCGGCATGACAACAGCAGGGCGGCCTGGGTCTCCATAGGCTGGGAAACCCCATGACCATGATCTGGGGGAGAAAGTCTCCCCCACCCAGCACCAGCCTGGGGAGGGGGTACGCCCTAGGCAGGGACCCTGCTGGGCACCCAGACTAGAAACGCCCTCGTCGCTGCCTAAGTCCCCTGCCCAGCAGCTCCCCTGGCCCTGGGCTCGCCTGGACACCTCACGGCCCCTCGAGCCAGGCGTTGCCAGGTGAGGGTGGTATGTGAGCAGTGCCCTCCCTGGAGGGGGCTCACCCCAGGGCACAGGACGCCTGGCTTCCCGGCTGGCTGTTGGGCGTCAGGAGGGAGGTGTTTCCCACCCGAACGTCCATTTTATTGTCAAGCAGATGAGCTCGGTCGGGGGACGAGGCTTTGGCTGGTGGTTCTGCTGATGGTCTTAGGGGGACGGGTCCCTCTCCACTGTCCGGCCAGGGCCTAAGCCCCCTCCAGCTGCCTGCACCCTGTCAACGGCCCCCACTGCGGGGTCCGCCAGGAAACAACCACCGTCCGCTTGCAGCGCCTGGCTGCCCCGTCCTGACCGCGGGGCTCCTTCCTGGACCACTGATGGGGAGCAGAGCCACAGCACAGACTGGGACAGCTTGGAAATGGGGGTGGCCTGGAGTTGTGAGAACCTGGAGCTGAATGTCAGGGAGCAGCTGTCCTGCCCACAGGGCCCGCCTTGGCCCAGCCCTGATGGCGGGTGAGGTGTCCTGGGTCTGGTTGCCAGGGCTGGCAGAGTCTGACACCGGCTCTGCACCGGCCTTTCCCCGTCGGCTCAGACGCACGGGTGCAGCACGATGAGCGTGTGCCTGTCATCATGTGTGCCCTCTGTCACGTGTACTCTCTGTCGTCACGCGTGGTCTTGGACATTCAAGCTTTTCAGGCTTTCGCTCGGCCCAGAGCCAGCTTGTCCTCGTGCTGCGAGGCCTCGACTGGGCCCCAGGTTGCTCCAAAGAGCCGCGCGGGGCATTGCTGAGCTGCTGGCCCATGGAGGCAGACTGACCTCAGCAGGAGCCCAGCCCAGAGCAAGCCGCTGCCCGCTCCCCGTGCAGGGCACAGGCTGGAGGATCCAGAGGGCTGGTCTCTGGGCCCCAAAAAGCCTGGGCCGAGCCTCTGGGGCAGCTCAGGGGCTGTGGACGGTGCTCCTGGCCACCACAGCGTCCTCGCTCGGGGCACCGTCCTACTGCCCTGTCCTCACCGAGCCCCAGGCGTCGGCCTGTGCTGGGGGGGCCTGCCGAGATGCAGGGTGCCTGTAAGAAGAGCACCCGGCGCCGTGGGAGAGGCTCTGGCATCGGGAAAGGACACAGCGAGGCCCACAGGGACGGGTCTGAGGGGAGAAGTTGGTGGCAGCGGCAGCGAGCGCTGGGGATGGCGGCCCGGGAGGCCCTGGCGCAGCAGAGCCCGAGCAGAGCGAGGCAGAGAGCGTCGGGGCCGGTGACTCGGGGCTGAGCCGGCTCCGGAGTCCAGACTCCAGGAGGAACTAGCCACAGGCTTGGGGGGCTTTCTGCCCTCACCCGACCTCTCTCTCCCTCAGGAAGGTGCAAGGACACGCTGTCCACCATCACGGGGCCCACCACCCAGAACACATACGGGCGGAACGAAGGGGCCTGGATGAAGGACCCGCTGGCCAGCGACGAGCGGATCTACGTGACCGACTCCTCGTACGGCAGCACCCTGGTGGAGTTCAGGAACCTGGAGAACTTCAGACAGGGTGCGTGCGGGCCCGCGGCTCTCCCTCCTCTGTCCTCTGCGCAGTCACGCTGGCCTGGGTGTGCCGTGCACGAGACGGGGCCTTCTCCCCCCACCTCCCCCACGGCCTCAGATCCCACGTCTGCCCTCCCTCACGCCCCTGGGACGGGGGCAGCCTGGAGTCAGGACCTCCTTTCCCGCGGCCCTGAGAGCTCGCCACCACGCTCCCCTGGGGCCGAACCTGGGTTCCCGGAGCAGCAGTGAGGCGAGTGGCCAGAGCCATTTCTATGGGACAGATGAGGCTGCTGGGCCGTGAATGTAGAAAGTGGGGGAGCCACGACAGACCGGGGTGCAGACCCCTTGCTCGTCCCCGCACCCTGGGCACCGCATGCTGAGCCCGCCTTGTCCCCGCAGGCCGCTGGAGCAACTCGTACAAGCTGCCCTACAGCTGGGCGGGCACCGGGCACGTGGTGTTCGGGGGCGCCTTCTACTACAGCCGCGCCTTCAC